ATAGCTTGAACATCGCATGTTTTTGTAGCCATGAACTGATGGATAATGCCTTTTTTTCTTCTTTTTCTTTTGAAGGTGTCATTCTTCGTGACTCCCATGGAGTTGCTCAAGTGAGATTTGTATCTGGGAACAAAATCCTTAGGATCATGAAGGCTTTGGGATTGGCTCCAGATTTGCCAGAGGACCTATATTATTTGATCAAGAAAGCAGTGGCAATCCGTAAACATCTGGAAAGAAACAGGTATTATTAAAGTTTATGAATTGGAACTGCATACAAGATTTTCCCAACAAATGGGCCCAGTCAATCAAGGTATACTACTGTGTTTCTATTAAATTTCTAGTGTTTTTGTATTTTATGAAAGATGGTTCCAAATTTTCCCCATTCTCAATCATTTTTGAACTAGTTGTCAGTTGACAACTTTTTATGTAACTTAAGCACTTGTTGACAAATGTAAGTTAGTTGAATAGTACCCTGTATATATTCTTTATTGTAGGAAGGACAAAGACTCCAAGTTTCGTTTGATTTTGGTAGAATCCAGAATCCACAGATTGGCACGTTATTACAAGACCAAGAGTATTCTGCCACCTAATTGGAAATATGAATCCAGTACAGCTTCTGCTCTTGTGGCTTGAATGTGGTCTCTGTTGTTTATATTATAAAATGTGAAATAAAGTATCTTGCTTCAGTATTTTTTTTTCTTATCGTAGATATGTAACCCATTCCTCTGTTATGGCAGGTGTAATGACAATTTTCCAGCTGGTATTCTAAAAGTACAGCACACTGCAAACAAACCAATTGTCAGCAGTAAATTACCAACAAAGTCATTACCACTGTGTTAAGTAACTCACAAATGGCACAATGTACAGACATTTTCCATATAACTTTATATTTGGCAGGTGATGAGAAATTCAAAATTTTGACATTAGAAGCAAGCAATTTTTTAAAGTGGGAACAATTTTTGCCATGTATAAATGCTTGTCCATTATCAAACTTAATTTCCCTGTATAGCAGTCAACCTTGGTTTTCTCCTTTAATGATATTCCATCTTAGTGGTGATATAACATCTGATTTTACTGCATTTTTTTCATTATTATTTTCATACCACCATAGAAAAAGCCCTTTTAATAGAATATATTAATTTTCACACTACCAAATCTGTTGATTATGTTAATAAAATTTTTACTTCTTGTTGTGGATATAACATTCCTGCACATAATAGTTCTTTTTGTTCTGGACCTGAAGAAACTTGTTATTTTCTTAAGCACCAATGTAAATTCTTGGAGTGAGTTCATAAACAGCAGAACCAAAGCAGCAAATTGTAACAAAAAATTGAGGCAGACCAATGTTATACAATGTAGGATTTGGATTTGAAATTTCATGGCAGTGAGTCTGAAGATGGCTGTCTTCTACCAGACCGCACAGTCCAACCACCCTGAAGACAGCCATCTTTAATGTTATGCAAATTATAAAATACACCGTGTTTCAAAAGTAGCTTTACAATTTCACAGGAGAATATCAATTTATTTAACGGACGTGCGCAATATTTTTAAATGCACAAATTTGGCCAGACACATCAAGTTTCATGCACGTAAACTGTAGTACCAAAAACTGTGTTTCTGAAGACGCCGTGGAACAGATTAGGGAGAGCTTCGCTCGAAGTCCACGCAAGTCAACGAGACGTGCATCTCGGGAAGGTGGGATTCCACATGACTGGCGAGTGTTACGAAGACGTTTACACTAAAGAGCGTACAGATTATCCATGGTGCAAGCCATTTCAGATGGCGATAAACTGGTAAGGTCAACACCCACAACTGCAGGATTTGGGGTAGTGAAAATCCACGTGCCTTCCTGGAACATGTTCGTGACAGTCCAAAAGTTAATGTGTTTTGCACCCTCAGCAAAGATAAAGTGTACGGCCCCTTCTTTTTCATGGAGAAGACCATGACCGCCATTGTGTATCTGGACATGCTCCAACAGTTCCTCAATCCTCAACTTGACGAAGATGACCAAGAAGGACGCATTCACTTCCAGCAAGACAGTGCACCCCCTCATTACCTTGGAGAAGTAAGTGAGTACCTCAACAACTGTTTCCCAGGTCAGTGGATTGGTCGGGCCTCACCAATAGCATGGCCACCTCGTTTCCCGGATCTAACACCTTTACATTTTTTCTTGTGGGGATTTTTTAAAGATCGAGTGTACGTGCCACCCTTATCTGCAAATGTGGCCGAACTCGAATTACCACCGCAGTTGCTGAAGTGACACCGGAGATGCTACACGTGTGGCAAGATATTGACTGCAGATGGAACGTCTGCCGCATAACAAATGGAAGTCACATTGAACCATAAAAATCTGAAGGATATAAAACTTGAAGTCTTTGACTACATTTCTGTGTTCTGAAATTATATGTTTCTCCTATCAGTTCATCAATATCTTGCCCTCAACTTGTAAAGCTACTTTTGAAACATGCTGTACATTGGCTCTTCTCAGCCTTCCATTACACTCACTGTGACATGGCAATTCTAAGAAACAGTCATCTCATGTCTTTCAACTCTATTCACTTGAAGTATAACAATTTTATGCAGCAAATGCAATAATTTGGAGCATGTTGGATCCAACGTTATCCATGGTGAGCATTGGGATATTCTATGTAAGCATCAGAGAATCAATGCACCTTTTCATATAGCACAACACAATAGCTGAGAATAGAAATCTACAAAGCACTGCAACATAAATATTGTGTATCGCTGGCACCGAAAAGCTTTGCTAGACAAATGTAACTTGTGAATTCAATGACTATCAGACAACTGTTTCTTTTAATATGCTTTACTACAAACCACATTTAAGAAACAATATTGAAGTAATCAAATTATTTTAATGTTTTTTTTTTTACTTTGTACAATACTTTACAATTATCATATATTTATTTACTGAGTATCACATTAATAACTATGCCAGTCACACTCCCCATACTTAAATTAATCTTCATTACATATAACTTCCAAGTACAACTGTATCTTATATCTGACTTTTCAAACCATTGTTTTGACAAAACTGTTACTGTATATTACAGAAAGAACAGTAAATCAAAACCATACTGAAACAATGTAAGTAAAGATGGTAAATTTGTTTCTTGTAGTACCATTTTGTGAAATCTGAACTCATCACAAAGTACAGTAAGTTTGTTATTGTTGGGAGTTCCTTTTGTCTTTTGCTTTCACCATTTACCATATTCACCTACATACAAACATACTTGTTATATGAATGACTTTAAGGTTTACTTATGTGTAGAGGATACATCACTGTCATCATCATCGAGGTTCTTATAGTCACGTCTTACTTCCTGCTGCACTTGTTGCCACTTTGCTACTAGTGATGAAACACCCTTCTTCTTTAAAGCAAGACCAGGAGCCAATCTGGGCTATAACACACAAACACACAGCCATATACTTCTAAACAGTTAATTCTTGATAAAAAGATAATTATTTTAACATGACATTCTAAAAACAAAACCAAATTCCATTAGTTAATCATGAAGTGTATGTGCTGAAGACAAGTAGTGACAAGAAAGTCAAGAAAATAGCATATGCTGAGCTTCACAATTTGTATTCTTCACCAAATATTGTCATGAGTGACCAAATCAAGGTGTTCAATGAATAGGGCATGCAGCATGTATGGGACAGGTAAGAAATTCATACATGAAGAGATGAAATCACTTGAAAGGTCTTTGTGCAGATAAGAAAACAATATTAAAATCATCCCAAAAAGTAAGATGTGAGAATTGCCCTAATAATGGAGGTATCAAGGACCTTTGAAACACTGTAAACTTCTACCAGACTGCATGACACTACAATCAGAATGTGGAGTGGATTCAGTGCAGGGACCAGCTGTATGCTTTTGTGAAGATGGTAATAAGTGAGATTTCAGGTTCTCATGATAGAGAGTTTGAACATGAATGTCTTCTGGGATGTTGTGCCGTGTAGTCTGGTACAAGTTTACTGATGTACTGACAGTGGTAAACATCTACCTGACTACATAATGCAAAATGCCAGAAGACAGCCATCTTCATATTAACAAACCTTCAGGTTCTATTTAAAGCCTGGCTGAGTGACTATTAGCTTGTGAAGGAAAAGGACTGCTCCATGTAATTAGACTTGACAAATTACACATCCTCTCGGACCTTATATATAAAGCCACATATGAGGCATCAATGTATAAGTAAATGTAAAGCTGTCCCTGCTTAAGAACCATATAATGAAGGCATATAAGAGCAAAACTATAAGGCTCCATTCATTCCAGCTTTGAGCAAGAAATTAAGGCTTCATACTCTGAACACGTACCCCTCACAAAAATGCACCCATTACCAACTGGATGTGCCACAATAGTTCTGGACATGTTGAAAAACAAATGTTCCCAATGTTCTTATCGTGAACTGCATCCTGACCATCAGACCAGTTACTGTTTCCTCATTGACTGTCACAATTGGTTACAGTAAAATGTAAGTAGATATACAAGTATGCAGCTAAGTTATTCAGGCACTACAAACACAACCCAAAATAAACCCAGACAAGTTTGATACTGATGAATGTATCCAACCCCTTACATGAGCAATGTGATCAAAACATGAAGATTCCTGTCTTCTGGGTTGTTGCGCTGTGTAGTCTGGTCGATGTTTACCAACGTTTCTGAAGTCATACTGCCTCCGTCTTAATCGCCCTGATGACGGAGGCAGTATGACCTCTGAAAAGTTGGCTAACATCAACCAGACTACACAGCGCAACAACCCAGAAGACAGGAATCTTCATACTCACCGCTGTGAAAACCTCAAATCTTACATGATCAAAACATATCTGATGGTTTTCAAATTATTGTAGTGCAAGCACTACCACAAATATACCAACAAATGCATGGTGTATATCACCTATCTGAGGTAATTTTTCATATATTTGCTCTAAACATGGTCAAAACTTGTACATTTTATGTACAATCTTTAACAAAGCTCAAGATGGCAAAATGATTAACCTTGGGATTCCATCCACATATAGAGTTCAAACAAGGCAAAGTATAGCTGATAATAAGTCAACGCAACTGACTACTCTGAACCTTACCTTCTTCCTTTTCCTCGGATGTTCGACAGGAGCATAATCTGCAGGTTTGGTAAGAGCTGGTGTTGTCTCAGCCTCTACAGTTACACTAGCTGTCTGACTGTAGAAACTAGAAGGGCCTGGATGCACTGAAATATCATGTGGCACTGATCCTGTTGACATTCCTACTGCTGCATTTGGTTCATAAGTTGACAGAATGTTCGGCTCACTCAAAGATTCTTGCATGCCTGATGGTATGGACCCTGAGGACTCCAACGAAGCCAGATCTGAGTAGAAGGAATCCAACTCAGCATAGAGAGAAACCTTTGACTTCTTGGCTGCTGGACGTGAGATGGTATGCGCACTAGGCATTGGCATGGGCATGGCACCAACATATGGCACTGGACCATACTCAATTGCTGGACCTGCCATGCTCATAGAAGGTATACCTCCACCTGTACTGTGACTGCTTGATGAGACCACTGATGCCTATATATGAAAAAATGTAACAAATATTACATTCATCTTGAAGAGGAAATATGTTGTTGTTGTTGTTTTGTTTTTTTTCTGAGCAATAAAATCTGAAATGTTTCATATATGTTTCTGTACTGAACAAATTTCCATTTATAAAGCTGAACATCCAATAACTTGCAGAGTACTTGGAAGATATAACTGGGCACTGCAATGTGACTTACTCTCTGCATTTCTTTAGAAAACTACAACATGATTTCCTGCCTTTGTTTGGGAACATATGTACTGCCTTTCATATAATTATTGTAACAACTTCACTTACTTGATAAGCATTACTCATCAGGTACTGTGATTGGGCTGGATGTGGAATTCCTAATGACATCTGTTCTTCAGGCATTACTGAAAACCCATTGTCTATGTCTGTCGAGTCTGGTGGCCCAGAGGGTGGAGAAGGCGGTGGTAATGGTGGGTAAGCAGCAGCTCCATGGGGTGGAGGTGGTGGAGTCATGCCCGATAGTGTTTGGTATGAACCAGATGTCGAAGTGGATGCTGGAGGTATGTGTGGCCTTGCCACAATGTATGGCAATTCTGGAGGATCAACCCCAGGTGGAAGTGGTTCACCATGCTCATTCTCAAGTCGTGGCAGAGGGGGAGGGGAAGATGGAAGGGGTGGAGTGCTAGGTGGTAGAGGAGGAAGATCTGAAGGTGGTG